ATAATTTTGATAAAAACTATCTAACATTGGCAGTTTTATAGATCTCCAACGGGCATTTGAGACTGTTGATCAGAACCCTTTGATAAGAAAATTAATAAAGTATGGGTATAGTAGAGCAAGCATTGGAGTGGTGTGTGTGGAAACAAAGGTTAAAAGTAAATAACATATAAGAAAGAATTAACTATACCAAAGGAGTTCCACAGGAAAGCATTAGGTCCCCTGTTATTTTTAGTTTATATCAATGACACTGTTGATGTCAAGGGTCAATGTGACATTCACCTGTTTGCTGATGATGCCCTTATATATTTTTTTTGTAAAGATCCAGTAAGAGTTGTTAATGAAACTCTGAAAAATGTTTATTGTTCTACCCTAGCTTTATTGGGCTTGATATACATATACTGCCTTCGATCATGGTGGACTGTATGACTGTATTTGAAATAGATTACCTGGGGTGAAGGCCTTATGCTCCACCCTGTAGCCTCTGGAAAATATTCTTGAAGTTCTAGTTGAAGCACTGGGTGTTTAAAATAAAACCATTACCCTACATTTGATTTTGATTTATTCACTGCTTGATACTTTCACATTTAACACATTTACAACTTTGTTACATAAAATTATTGCTAAGTTACATATTAGCTTTTATAAATCAAATCGCAAAATGCTTGGAATTGATTACCGCGAATGTCGGCTTTTTAGGTTAAAGTTTTTGCGACTTGTTGCTTGTTTGACTGACAAAGCGAAAGTGATTTTTATTTTTTTGCTGCCGTTGTTTGTCAGCTCGCACCGGCTTACCGGCTTTCTTCTAATTGGTTCTCTAGTCTCGTATGATTGCACGCGAGACTATTGTTTTTAAGATCTGTCTTATGATTGGGTGAAAAATCTCGCATGACTAGCTTTAGCTGTTCGCGAAGTAGCAGGTGTCTTTAAAGGTTACTTGAAAGTTAAATGGGTGGTTATTGCACAACTTTGGATAAGGCCTATGCCTTCGTAGCCTATTTTCCTCCATTCTTTTTTGTTTCCTGTTCTTCTACGCCAATCCCTTATCCCCATGTCGTGTAGGTCTCTTTCCACCATCTGTAACCACTTAGTCCGTGGTCGTCCCCTTCTTCCCCTCCCGGTTATTCCTCCTGTTAATACTTGCTTTGTTGGTCTTTCATCTGCTAGTCTCGTTATATGTCCATCTTAGTCGCTGTGCCCTGGCTACATTTGTTATAAAAGGGTCTCCATATAATTCCTTTATTTCAACATTTTTCTAAGCACTTATCGCTCTTTTTTTCCAATGAGGTTTTTCTTTCGTGTTTAATTTCCATACCTCGGTTCCGTAAGTGACTACTGGCCTGATTATCGTTTTATAGATTCTCTGTTTTAGGTTTTTTGACAAATTCTTGGATTTTAGGAAATGCAGCATTCCTCCAATACATTTTATTCCTTTGGCTATTCGTTCTTCTCTTTCTTCTAAAGAGCTAAATTTGGTCACTTTCTCAAACTCTGATATTCAGCGTATATTCTTAATTCTCTATTCTGTATGTTTCCTGGCATTTTTCTACTAACATGAATGTTGTTTCATTGATTATTGACCCCATTTCTCTATTTGGTTGCAGGTTTTTCTATCAGGGGAGATCCATGTTCTATTATTTTTTTCCATTTCCATTAATTTCACTTTGTTTACTGTGTCCTCCAGTAGTCGGTTTCTTTTCCAATCTTTGCATTGAAATCTATCAATATTTTGCCATTATATCTTAGAATTTTGTTATAAATTTGTTCTATATATTCATAAAACTCTTCTCATTTATCATTCATTCTCTTTATCTTCTCTAGGTCAGTGTACATTGATAATGCTTATTTTTCTGTACTTGCTTCTTATCCTTATTTTGCAAATTCTGTTTGTTACTGGTGTAAACTCTATTATATATTTTTTTAAGTTGTTTTTTTACCAAAAACCCTGTTCCAAACATCCTATCATCTGTTCCGCTATTGAAAAATATATATTCTTCTACTTATTTAATACAGTTTCCTGATTGTTTCATTTCTTGTATCGCTATTAAATTTAATCTATTAAGTAATTGTCTATAATTTGTGTTAATCTAATCAAGGTTGCTTCTGCATACGTTCTCCTGACATTCCGAGTTGCTAAGCATATTTGTTTTTATATCCTTCATTTTCGAAAGCCTTATTTGCTCCTCTCATTTTTTTCGGAATTTGTTTTTATAGTTTTATTATAATTTTGTCTATCTAATACATCATCTATAACTATTTCCTCGTTATCCATGTTCATAGCCTTATCCGTTGCCGTTTTTAACCCATTTTCCATTATTCAGTTATAGTTTTTTGATATATCAAGGTCTAACTCTCCAGTGGTATAATTTCACTTCCATTCTCTCCCATCTATTGTAACTTTGTTGTACCCTATCTTAACAATTTTTTCCTTTATCCTGTTCCTTTTTCGCAGTCTTTCTGATTTGTTTTCCTTTTTAACCGACTTCAAATGGAGGAGGTTCTCCATTCGTCGTAATATTATTTTTTAATTGATTGTATGTATGTTCAGCGATAATTCTTTGGTGTCCGATTTCAATGATTCTGATGATTTTTTGTTAGAAAGGGGGTACTTCAGGGACGGTCCCATATAAATTTGATCAAAATCTAATAATTGAATCCGAAAATCCTCAAACTCTTCATTTTTATGTATGTTTATCGATAATTCTTTACTACCTTGTCCGATTTCTTTGATTTTTTTTTTGTTAGTAAAGAGTTATCTCAAGGATGCTCCCATATAAATTTGGTCAAAATGTGGTGATGGCATCAGCACGATTTTGAAGTCGGTTTATAATTACTTTTAATACTTGTCATTTTGAGTCATTGTCTAGTCTCTTTCCATTTTTGTTTTGTCTTCATTAATGAAAATCTTTTTTATTATTCTTCAATTTATGTTTATTTTTCATTACTTGATCTTCTATTTTCTCAAATTCGACTAAGCATGTTTTTTCTCGCAAGTTTTTTGGCAATCTTAACTTTTGTTTTTACTTCTATTTCCTTTTCTAAGATATTTTTCATATCTTTTTTTGGGTCATCTGTAGTAATTTCCAGTCCTATTACTACTATATTATTTTTATTTTTCTCCTTTTCTAACCATTCAACTTTCCTGTTTATTTCTCCTAATTTTTGAATTATATCTTCACATTTTTACAAAATAATAAATAACATAAAAAAACTTACCAGAATGTAGCTTTGAGTAGTAATTTATTGCACTTCAAACTTATACAGTAAAATAAAGAATATTTTACATTGAACGATATTTGAAGTCTAGTCTTCGTTCTGTTTTATTAGCGAAACGGTCAATCACTCGTCTATTAAAGTCGCCAATGTTATTTAGAAACACTTTAGAAACAGCTGATAACATTCCTAGCACACTTATGCCGCGTTTGAGAATCCACTTCGGATGCATTTTTTACATCTCGAGCGTTTTTTTTATTCACATAGGACACATTTGTCCCATTACATTTACGTATACTGAATCACGTGATCAAAGATTTACTATATCTCAGATGCATCCGATGTGGATTCTCAAACGCGGCATTGGTCTTTCTTGCTAAATCATAATTATTAATATTAGTAATATTTTAAAATTTAAATTGATTTATACATTCATTTTTATTATTATTGTTTAACCAACTGTTTCCATGTGACTACTCAACTATTCTAACTAACTACCTAACAAACAAAAATTCAGCACGCATAAAATGTCAAAACCAATACGCCGAACACGCGATTGAAACAATACTATTCTAACTATTCATTCCGAGCCGCTTGAAACGTGGCCCCGATTGAATGTAAAAGAAGCGCTTTCTACAGGCGAATGGTGTGACCTTTAGTAAACTTTTACAATGGATTGATATGTAAGCAGCCGGGCCACTGGTCGATGTACTCGGCGGACAGTCAATTGCTGGAATTATTAAATTTGTTGTGTCTAGGAATAATACGACGCAAGTTTTTTCAACGGGATCAAATTAAATAATGATAACTAATTTATATAATGTATCGTTTAGCCATAATTTGATCCGACAATTGTAATAATTATTGTAATTAATATAAAAAGAAATATTTTTAGAGACCGAAATATTTATTGTAAACTATGTTAATTAATTTTAAATGAAATGAATCGGATTTTAATATAGAATCAAATTTAATCGGTGTTAAGAATAATAATACATAAAATGAAACGTATCGAATGAATGTCTATGAAAGAATGCCCTGCTTTATCACCAAATATTCTTATGTGTCCCAGTTCGACATATCGTTCTACAAAATATGAGTAGCACTCGTGAATCATGACAGGGTGGTCCTAGCCTAGTGATAAACGAAACATCCGAGTGGTTACATTATAAATTTTGCGCCAGTGCCAAGGTCCTTTGGCCCCTAAGGACAAGCCGCTACTGTAATACGTTATAATTTATTATAGCTTGGGGGCGCTAAAATTAAAAGTAACGCAATGAACAGTCATATTTCTCAATCACCAATAAATTGCCTTTTTCAATGATGCAATGATGATACATGGTATATTCCCTATTTAAAATTAAGGTTTGGAGACGTGGAAGGGATGGATTTGACATATGAGATATGTCTGTATTGTAAAAATGTGTTTTATATCGAAAATGGATAGATTTATCGAATTAGTTCATAGAACAAAATATTCTTAAAAATTTATTTTTTACATAAGAAAGATCCTCCCAAAAAAAAAGAATATTGAGAGCAGCGCCATCTACATATTGACTTAAAATCAATTTATATCTTAAACTGAAGCTCTCTTAGTACTCTATGAACTGGCTTTTATAGAATTAAGATATCTCTATTTCTTACCAAAATATCCGGCCCGGGAGTTTTTCTTGGTATGAATATTCTCTTTTATTTACGGTTGCAAAAATAGAACTGTGATATTCCACAAATTCTTAATTTGCAATGAATATCTATTTCTGTTATGTATAAAATTGTGAAATCTATTGTAGCAGTGTACCAGAACACGCCGATTTTCATACTCCAAGTATCGAAAGTGATAGTCCGTTTTTGTATTGTCTATTAAATCAATCTGATAGTAAGGTGAGTAACGAAGTCTTCATTGTGATTAGAAAAAAATGACTTTTTTGTCTTTACAGCCCCTTTCATGTCCTCCAGCGATGCATTTTATCACCACAGCCAGACTTAATAAACAAAATAAATCCAGATATCTGATACGAGGTGATTCGGAAGGATATGTTTTAGTATGGAGTATTCCTGAAATATCAGCTGCGCAGTTAGAAGAAATTCAGCGACAAAAATTGCCTCAACCTGTTACAATGAAGGCCACTCTTACTACTAGTTTGACCGAAGCTTGGGCTGGTGTGAAACCTAGTCCGGTTGGGATTTTAGATCAGTTGGAGAAACAGGAAGGACAGTGTAAGATTTTATATTGTCTAAATAATTGGTTAATTCAAAATTATTATTATTCAAACTTAAATTATAATAAATTCTTAGTACCTCATTTGACTGGAAAAAGTGGCGTGCCGTGAACAGCTTATACTGTCTCGGTGGTGGGAGCTGCCGTGTAACCAAGATATACTCTGTTTAAAGGTACAATAACGCCACTAGAACTTCTAAAAAACGTAAATTCTATAGAGATAAATATTTTGTATAGTATAATAAATTTAGAAAAGACAAAGGAGGATGTAGTTCGTCCAATGAGGTATAAAAAATTATTCATTCGGAGAGAAAAAAATATTCTGAAAAATATTTAATTTGTATATTTTTTGACTCGGTTTTTTTTTTCAGCAATAAAATTGACGGCCAGTATTTATTTACCTTTACAAAGTAGGTTGGTTGTAGGAAGAGAAGATGGCACAATAATAATTGTACCTGCAAATCAAACAGTGATGTTGCATCTACTTCACGGGAATCATCAGCAATTTAATGGTAAATACAAAATTATTTATTATTATTTATTTACGGGCAAGCCCATTTGGGAAATAAATTACAATTTTAACATTATAATTAAAATGTAGTGAAATATATATTATATTATATATATATATATATATATATATATATATATATATATATATATATATATATATATATATATATATATATATATAATTAAAAATCATTAGATCTAGTATGCGTTTGACAAGTTAGTTGACAGCATGTTGACAGTTATTCGTTGTTCCCGATTCTTTTTTGAAATTAAACTTAAAATATTAAGCCCGTTTTAATTGTTTATCAATTAAAAAAATGGAAGACGATGATTACATGGAACTAACACCTCCTGAAATCCGCGACGCTGCTAAAGTGGCGTCGTTGGAATTATTACCTGAAATATCGAGGAAAAATTATGAGATTGCATACAATAACTTTAAACGAGTTCCTGTATAAATTGGCGTTTTATTTCACACGGTGGCTTAAATACTCCTCATTTGAAAGGTCTTTTAATTGTGAACAATCTTGTCAATTCTATTTATAACAACTTCAAAGAATTTTTTCTAATAATCCCCCTTTCGTTTTCGGTGAGCCCCCGTATTCAGTTGTAGATAAAGTATAGTATTCCATTCGTGTATAATGGACCATACTACACTCGAATATTTACAACACTCGTGTAATATGGTCAACATTATACACTTATTGAATAATATACTATACTATACATTAAAAATTGAAGATTAAAGATTAAAGCTCAGTACTAATTGCTTTATAAATTTATGAAAGGGGTGTTAAATATCTCAAGATCGGTATGAGTGTTGGCTATTCTTAACATTCTTGGAATACAGCTGCTAAAAGTATGGTTTAAACGATAAAAAGGTACATAAAATGATTTTTGCTGTCGAGTTGAGCGCGTTGGATGATAAAGATTTATTTTTGTTAGAAGTTCAGTACAGCTGCATCTGCCATTGATAATGTTGAAAAGTAAGTAAGTAAGAGGGAATGTTTAGAAAATTCTCTATCAAATCATACTCGCAAAGGACACCCAATTTATAGGCTATGTATCTAAGAAATTTATGTTGCACATTTTCTATGTTTCTGCTCTGCGTTATGTAATAACAGTAATCTAGGTGAGGTCGGACTAGTGAACAATAAAGGACTTTAATTGCAGTTGCGTCAGTAAAATCATGTTTTAGTCTTTTGATAAAACCTAACATTTTCATGGATTTATGGGTAGCCTTAGGTATGTGTTGATTGAAGCTTAAAATGGGATCTAGAATAACTCCAAGGTTTTTAATTTGATTAACAGACTCCAAGATATGACCATTTAAGTTGTAATCAAAAGTAGTAGTTGGTACATGGGATCGATAAAAGCGCATGACATGGCAGTTTGATAGATTATCAAGGTCAGACTGAAGCCAGAGGGCATCATAAATGGTTTTAATAATTAGGAAAACTTTTAAATCATCTGCAAACAATAGTGCTTTGTCATACTGAAAACAATGAATGATGTAATTTATAAATAAGTTTAATAATAAGAGACCAAGGTGTGATCCTTGAGGAACATCTGAGGTAACTTGAAATGAGTTAGAATAGTGATGGTTTACTCTAACCATTTGAGTTCTGTTCGTAAGATAGCTACTAATCCATTGCAGTACGACCCCATTTATGCCATATTTATCGAGCTTTTGAAGTAAGACAGAATAGTTGACCCTGTCAAAAGCCTTAAAAAAGTCAGTGTACACAGAATCAATCTGGCAACCCTTCTCCAAAGCTTCCGATAGGAAGTCGACGTAGGTAACTAGATTTAATTCAGTCGATTTTCCAACACAAAAACCATATTGATGATCCGTTATGATGCCAGAGCAGTCATAGGTAAGGTAGTCTGTTATAATGTTCTCAAAAACCTTAGGTATAGTACTGAGAATAGATATAGGTCGGTAATTTTTGACGTCTGTCTTGCTACCCGATTTGTATATTGGGGTGACATAAGATGGTTTCCAATAATCTGGAAACTCACTCGTGACGATAGATTTATTGAAAATATAGAAGAGAGGGTGAGACAATACGAAGCTGCCATTTCTGAGTAGGATTGGAGGAATAATGTCAGGACCTGGACCTTTCTTTATATCAAGATTATATAATTTCTCGTAAGTGGTCGAAATAGGAATGTGGTAAGAGGAAACATTAAGTTTTGATTCAATATCGTTGAAATTTTGATTTAAATTTTGATTTAAATTTTGATTTAAATTTTGATTAGTGTAAATTGATGAAAAATGCTTGGCAAACAAATTTGATACTTCACTGCCACAAGAAGCAAAAGTCTTCAAGGTATTATCAGGTATGGTGTTATTAGATCTTTTGGTACTTACAAAATTCAAAACGGCTTTAACATTACTTTTAACAGAAGTTTCAACAGAATGTATGTAATTTGAATAGCATTCTCTAGATATAATCCTGCATTGTGATCTTAACTGACTGAATATTTAATAATTTTGGGGAGTCCTGTTTAGCTTGTAAATCTTATGTGCAACCTTTGTAAGGGATTTTCTCGCCTCTGAGAAAATTATCCCTTATTAATGGCGCTGGTTACGGGCGGCTCTCGAGCGCCAGATTTTTGGTTATGGTTTACTCCACAAACTCTCGAAGCGGCGTCGAAAGTACTCGGGTAGCTACAGATGGAGATGAAAAATTCCAGGCGTCAAAGGTCACTGAGACACAGGTAATGGCAGGCCACAAGTAACGGACTTTAATCGTTGCTTGGGCTGGTACAGAATTTATTACTAGCTGAAATACAAGGGGGAAATAAAGTATGGAATTAGTAACCAGTAATACGGCAAGTTAACGTTAACACATATTTTGTTTTAAACTATTTACAACATAAAAAAGAAATAAATTAAGGTATTTCAACGCCCACCCTCACGGTAATATTTACAAACCCTGAACAAAAATAAACAAACAAAACGAACGGAAATGACTTCCGTATAGCCTCAATCAGACGTAAAAAATTAAATCAATAATTATAGTCGCAGCAAAAGTTTATTATTGAACTGTCTATTTTGTTGTTGAGCTAAAAATGTAACTTGCTATTTCGTTCAGGAGAAATATTAATTCGGTCGTAGAAAAAATTTACTATCAGACTATTTTACGGACGCAGGAAAAATTAACTATTTAACAATTTAAACGTTAAACAAACTAAAAATGCAATTTATTATTTTTATACCGAAAATAATATTTACGGTCGTAGGAAAAATTAACTGTTGAATTGTCTAATTGGTATTTACAATCAAAGGTAATTGAATGCTTCGGCAAAGCAAAATTTCATGTACGGTTGCAGAGAATGCGAAGAGACAGGTTCGTGACTACTACTTTCAGGGCCGAAACCGGGGCTCTATAAGAAGTTTACTCAAACTAGTGGTTGGAAAGTAAAACCAACTAACAACCGGGATAGCACATTATCTCTGAATGAAGTGATCGTAATCACGAGCCGCTTCAAACAAGGGAATGACACTATTTAAGTTCACTTAAAATAACGGAGACTTACGCAGATGAGTGTTTCAGACGTAAAATATACTAATAACCGGGATAGCACATTATCTCTGAATGAAGTGATCGTAATCACGAGCCGCTTCAGACAGGGGAATGATACTATTTAAGTTCGCATAAATTTGCGGTTCGGAGTATAAAATAAAAGAAAATGTCTCGTCGCGATTTTATTAAGATAACAAATCAAGATATTAGACAATTCGGACCAATTATTTATTGGTTAAAGCTTTAAATAAACCAAAATGAAATTTACGATTTTTTCATTGAAATTTACGGTATTAGGAAAAATTAACTATACGACTATATTTACGATCGAATGAAAAATAAATTATTTAACCGTTAAAATGATATTCCAAAAAAAGAAAACTGTGCTTTCTAACAAAAATAAATTTAAGTATTTCTTAATCAAAACAAGTTTCAATTATTAACTCAACACGGAATAATATTAATTAAAAACAAATCAAAATAAAACTGTTTCCAATAGCACGGCTTAAAGTCTCGAGCGAAAAAAATATCAATTTATAAAAACAATGACAACAATTTACCTATCGTCAAGATCGCGGCTAGAAATTTATATTGGTTAAAAATTGTATCTCTCGCGAGCAATATCGGAATCGTGGATTTCGGTGTCTAAATAAGTTTTCTATTTTCGGCTGTTCGATAAATCAGTGTATTAGGAACTGCCTTCTTAATTCAATCTCGGGCCTCGTTCACTCGTCGATAGCTCTTCCAATAACAGAAACCCCACCATTACAACTCGCGCACGCAGAGTATTTTGACGATATGGTCTGAATTGCGGCAAGCTGATATACAGGGGCACGAAGTTAAAATTAAGTAAAAATCGAAATTAATACCCGAAATTAGTAAAAAGAATATTAACGAAAATTGATTTCATTACACCTTTTTATCGTTGACCAAGCTTCTGAGTTGAAAAGAATACCAATGTGGGAATCTGTTTATAACAAATTTCTTTAAGGGAACCAATAACTCAATTACCGAGTACAAAGCGTCATAAAAAGTAAGAATCATTTCTGAAAGTTCCTTTCCTTGAAGAAGCCCATCCCAATCCATTGCCTTCAAACATTGGCGTATACCCTCATAATTGGCGTGGCGAAAATCATAATAATACTCTTCTCCAGGAGCATCATTTGAGTTCGTCTTATATTGAATTGAAGTTTCAAGAGGAGGATGATGAACATCAGGTGGGATCAATATATCAACGGCTACCATCACTGTAAGTTCCACCGGGTACAAAACAAGGTCAAGGATAATTCATCTTTGGTTGAGCACTTTGTTAGACTGGAAAAGATTGTAAAAAGCCCATATGTTCTAGATGATTTCGATAGCACCTTCTTCCTATAGTGTTGAACTGGGATAAGCTGAAGAGCAGAAATCTTCAATATCCCATGTTGCTGTAGGTAGATTATAATCGCCAAAAATGTAAAATTGAC